TTTTCCCATTTTTACCCGTTTAATAACATCAGAATAGTTTCTTACAAAACTTTGAAACGTCGGGATCCCGGTTGCAACAATTATATAATAGTCCAACAACGTAATGTCCTTCGGTCTCAGGCTTCCGATCCTGGGCGTCCTCATATGGGTTGATGGTCACTCGTTGACCCTGGTGAGCACTTCTGGATTTCCTTCGCCGGCCGTCGTCCTTGTATGTTGATTGCTATCCGAGGTACTGTACATACGTGGAATCTTTTCTTAACTTCCTAATGCTGCTCACACGACCAAAGTGGGGAGCCACTACTAGACATCCAAGGACCAAGAACGTCACATCCTTTTTTCGCGCGAGTTTTATAAGTTTCCTTTGGGTCCCAGACCGAACATTCCGATAGTCGATGTCGACTTGCCCCCGCTCTCCAATTGGCCCCCCTCGTTACGAATTGTAACGAGATTGGAACCCAGATTGTGGGATGAGTCAACACCTACTGACAATTCGATTCCTATCGAAGATGTTCGATCTAAGCACTCAAATTCATCTATTGTTTTAATCTGAGTAGTTCGATTTTCTTAGAAATTTCTACAGACATGTCCTTATATGGACATAAAATATTCATTTTTCGTTTGATGGTTTATTTTTACAACATTATAATAATTATTATTTTCTTCTATACAAATATTAGAAATTTTTTTTTGCACAAATTCTAGGCTCACTTCCGAAGCCTCGCGTGTACACTGGGTCATTCAGATTTTAGCGTTAGAAAGCATCTCCATATACAATTTACAATATTTAGCGAATAGAACAGCTGGACAAGCAAGCCAAAATATAGCCTGTTTCATTTTAAATGGATTTATGTCATTGGTTTGCTAATTAAAACCTTTTTACTTGGCAATGAGTTCAAGTAGATAGGCGATCTGATGAGGGGCAAGAATGTCTCCCGGAAGGTCATTTATGGGAAACTGGCCTCTATTTTAGATGTTACAAGCGTGAAGAAAATCCAGAGAAATTCACGTGGACGGCTCGTTGGCCAGGCGCGAATCCACGATCAACTACCGGTGTACACTGGTTTTATCCACCCCATTGATGAATGAGTGAAAGTTAGTGAACAACGTTCTGATTCTGTTTGTGATAAACTATAATATTCGTATTGAATTCGAGTCCGGATTCCCATGTTTTAGTGTGCAGCTATCTGACTGACATTAATGCATAATGCACATGTAATAAAGACAATCAAATGAAGTATATCTATTTATCGCTAGAAATGTATGGTAGGTCTATTCGTAAAAATTACAAAATGGCTTGTTTCTGTCACTTTTTACAATTTAACTTCAATATGAGACAAAACCATATATATTAATCCAAAATGATTGTGACCGTCCGTATTCGAGCTTTCGGTTATCCGAGGTGGCATCTATCAACATTATCTCGGATAACCGGGGTTCTATTATATATGCAATTATTTATTAGGAAATCAATGCTGTGTGTAAAGCGAATGATATTCATTTAATAAAAACTTATTCATCTTTAGCACAAAATTTATTTTACTAACAAAATTGTGTATTGTTTATTTTGATGAATCGATTTCAAAAGCAGATGCACAAAAATACCCGGTGGTTATAATTAAAGTTGTCCTACTCAGACTTGTCTACAGCCCATTCTCGTGGACGTATTTTGATGAAACTTGGTATATATGTTATACGGACCGTGGGGAAAAGGAAAATGCAAAAAAAATATTTAGTTCGAATTTTTACCACTGGGCGAAAAAATGGCGCATAAAGAACAAGAAACACAAAATGGAAACACGCAAAATGTTTTTATTCACAATATTTGTTCAATGTGCAATCCATTTGCATCAGTCACGTGTTCAAAACGTCTTGCAGCATTGTAAGGCATTTTGAACACGTAATTGGTGCAAATGGACTGCATATTGAACAAATATTGTGAATAAAAACATTTTGCGTGTTTCCATTTTGTGTTTCTTGTTCTTTATGCGCCATTTTTTCGCCCAGTGATAAAAATTCGAACTAAATATTTTTTTTTCATTTTCCTTTTTCCCATGGTCTATATAACATATATACCAAGTTTCATCAAAATACGTCCACGAGAACTGGCTGTAGACAAGTCTGAGTAGGGCAACTTTAACTATAACCACCCATTGGCCTCTTTGTGCTCTCTGAGCGGTAAGGGGCCTAAAACCACAAATAAAAAAATAAAAAAAACTATAACTAGCCTGTACTTGCTAGCGGCAGATGGCCGAGCGGTCAAGGTGGCAGCCCACCGCTCTGGGGGACCCGAGTTCGAATCGGAACGAGTCGAAAAATCCCCAGGAATTTTTCGGGGGGCGGTCCTTTCGGATATGTCGGGCCCCGTCCCTCACCACCCGGCAGCCCCATTGTGGGCCTGGCCGAACCCATAACGGGCTTGCAAAAAGAGACACTCTTAGTGCCCACAGGGCGGAAAGAGTTTAAAAAAAAAACCCCTATATTTCAGTAAATTGCATGAATCTTAGATATGTGATCGAGCTTAAAATACGAGTACAGTATATATTCTTATTCGTGTATTATCTTTTTTTCGTGAAATTAGAATTATATTATGCGCAAATATAGTCATATATAATTCTATATTGCATATAATTCAAGAAATACTCTAAAATTCGAGTTATTTTAAAGAAATGTCTTTCAGGAGTAGTTCGAATCATTTTCATTGTTCGTTTCTCATTCACGCTGATCGACCTCATTGCTAATGTAATGAGAAAAATTCAGGTCAACCGTACTAAAATGAAACGAAGCTAAATAGTTTTTCAACTGAAAAATTTGCAATATAGTATTAGAATATTTATAAACTAAAATATAATACCTATATGAAAATCTTAATATGTAATTGAGAATATGAATAATAATCTTTCTATAAAGTTCAAAATTTTTTTTAAAAATTCCATACTACTACAATACGTTTTTATTTTGAGTGAACGTACAGCAAATTGTTTTAATTTTTTACTCATTAAAAAATGTATTACTGTTATTTGTATTTTAAATATCGCATAAAATAAGAGCAAGTAAATCGTTACTCACTCAATTTTTTTTTTTTTTTTTTACAAAAATTATTTTGTAATAAAATTTGTACAAGTTTTCCAGAAATAACGGTCTATAAAATGGCACATTTAAATTTTTTTTTTTTTTTTAAATTAAAAATCTCAAACTGAAAATAGTGGAATTAGTGCATTAAGAGATAAATATTTAAATTTACTTTTTTAATATTTAATTCTTTTAAACGTAAAGGCACTACTAAGAGGTATTTTTTCCGTACATATCGTGGGTTGGATTAAGCTCACGATGGAGTAGATAGAGAAGAACAAAGCCGACATAGCACATCAATCCATTCATGCCAATTCAGAATTGAACCTGTGTTCCCAATTCAAATTCAGTCTATTATAAAACCTTTTTACTTATCCCCCAATAATGACAGAGCTAAGTTATATCAGAAAAGTAGGGTTTTCCGAGGAGATAAACGTAAAAATGCCAAGTTAATTTCATCAGTCGAATTTGATTTTTTTGTGTGTATTTAAAAAAAAATTCAAAACAATTGATTTTTTTCGCCATATTTTAAAGAATATATTAGTGTTTTATTTACTTACTACTCATCTACATCGAAGTACAGGAAATTAACCTGACATATAGCCTAAAATGACACGTTTAAAGCAAATCCGAATGATAAATCTTCCATATTTTCTATCAAATCTATCTAAAACAATTATTTACGAGTAAAATAACTAAAAAGCAGAGTAGTGAGGACAATCAAAGTATGTAGCTGGACAGAAAATATATGCTCTGTTCTGTATTGAATATGCCTATTGTCCTAATATATTTTTGATTTATTATCTGTATTTTTTTTTCTTTACTAAAAGCTTTCTTTCACTTCAATACAAGACTAATACAATTGAGCCAAAAGGAATTTAATCCAAATAATTCAAAGAGAATGCATCTATTATCTCTCTGATAATAAACTGAAAATAAAATAAGACACGTAATCAAGTAATAATTCTACATACTGTATTTATTAAAACTGTTTGAAATAATGATGAACTGACTAGTCACGAAAGATTTAACGATTTATCAATCAACTATTAACTTTAATATATTGTCTAAAAAATGACAAAGTATAAAAAATGATGGTAATAATATTTTCATGCAGGAAAAATTCGAATAGATACGCTACTCATTGACCTAATAATAGAATTCAGATTATGTAACTATATTTAGATCCTCGTACTATATTCGTCTTCACACTAGAATATACAGACAATCAAAATTTGAAGGTCACCGATGATATATCTAAGGAATTTTCATTATAAAACACAAGAATTTTTAAGCTTATTGTTACTTTATAACTGTAATAAATTTAAAGTTGAGCGAGGAAGAAATAATTCGGAAAAAAATTATATATATATATATATATATAAACGACCAGTAGATACGTGTATACATCTTATTATTAATCGCTCCATTCACGAACTGCGTATTGTACAGTCGGAACACGCTTATAATATATTAAATAAATTCTTAAAATAGATACTAATTGTCCACTTTTATTTCATAAAGCATTTCCTGTTCGCAAATAAAATATGTTTGTAAGAAGTAATGCCGAATTAATATATGATACGAAATAAAACAGGTTAAAATTTCGCAAAAACTATTACGTAATTTTTAACGTTAGGTTTTTTTTCCCCCGAAGAAATTGCAAACCATTTTAGTTATTTACGATTTGTAACTCCGCCGTAATAAAATAATAAATTTAGAAACAATTTTTTTATTATTAATTTTGTATTCGAGTGGATGAATATAAATATCGGTGTTTATTAATTTTGCCGAAAATAGATATCAATATTTGATCGCGTATAAAAATAGAATGAAATAATGGCCGAAAGTTTTCATCTCTGAAACGTCAACGTCGAACGTCGAGCGCCGACGTTCGACGTTCGACGTTGACGTTTCACAGATAAAAACTTCGGCCGCAACCTCGTTATTATAAGGAAAATTGTGCGCGTGCATTTTTGAAATTTTCAGGAAAAACATTTTAAGTAATTAAAAATAATAATCGCTACATAAATTACATTACGTAAATTTTCACAACGCGCTCGTATTATTACATTTAAAATAATACAATTTTAATTATACCGAAAAAAAAAAAAAAAGCATTTCCTCGCTTTCTTAAAATAACAGGACCGGTTAAACGAGTTGTCTAGGAAATAAAATGTATTTTCCTCTTTCATTTGAGAGACCGAAGAGTGGAAGAACGATACGAATTGAATTATAAATATATATATATAATTTTACAATCGAAAATCTCGTACCGATCGATTATAAAAACGAATATTGTAGAATCCATACAAGGACCGCAGTTAACAAACAGTCATGTTTGGGTGATGACACGAACCCGTGTGGTGGATGGATTGAATTAATACCGATCGGTTTATAATAAACTAAACATTGCACAATGTTTAAATTTGGAAGTAAAAAGGACGTTAATATCGAATATAAATGCACTGTCAGATTATTGGATGATAACGAAGTGTTACAGTGTGAGTTTCAGGTGAGTCTTGTTTTTAATCCATTTCAAAGATGCTACATTATACATTTTCCACTTCTGATCCTCCTCCTCCCCCTCTTCCTCTCTTTCTGCATTATCTATGATGATAAATACTAAATCTTTTTATATAACACACAATAATAATTATCAAAAACAATTAAAAATTGAAGTATTTTTTTTTATTCAGTGACAATTTTCATAAAAATAAATGATTTCCTTTCATTTTATTCCATTAACAGAATGATTTCTTAATGTTATATAATATATAACATTATCATTTAAATTCTCTATGTTGTTATTAAGTAAAAGAATAGGGATTTTATATAACATTTAAGAAATTAGCATAAATGATGTAAATATCAGTGGTATCGATATCTAACGTGTGTGTATAATGTCCCAGGTATTTAAAATTTAATGCGATTTGTGAATTCGGTGTTTATTTAACTGTTGTTCTACGAAGATTTTTTTTTTTTATTACGAAATTAAATATTGTTAATTAAGATTGATTCGTTTGCGGTATTGTATTCAAAAATGTTAATTAAAAGATGAATGGAGATGCCGTTTAAATTGCTTGTTTAATTATATATAAGTATTGATTGATGTCATTCAAATTGAAATATTCGTTTGTAACGATGCCGATTAAAATGTGCTCGACTAAGAAAATAATGAAATATTAGACGAGTCGGGAAATTAGGCGATAAACTATAAACTAGGATGATCGGATGCCACCGTTCTTAATATTTGATCGTAGAATTGATCTTTGAATTGAATAATCTTATTAATATGTCAATATAATAATATAAATTTATACGTCAATAAATAAATGAATTTTTTAAAAAATAACTGTAGTTTTTGATCAATTTTGAATCCCATTTTTGTTGATTTTGAAAGGTGTTCCCAGTTTGATTGTAAGTGATACAGCTCACTTACTTTACTTATATAAATTAGCTTAAAAATATTAATTTAGTAAAGTCTTGGGCTGAATATCTAAAAAAGATTGTGTTATTCATTAAGAAAATATACAAAATATGCATAAACGATATTAGTCTTCACTACTTTTATTAACCACCTTATCAGCAATTTTGCAGACCAAATAAGCTGTTACGTTCAAGGTAGCATACTATCACCAAAGTAATAGAGAGGACTAATCACTCACCATGTCAAATTTAAACGACTTAAAGCTTGTTTTGAATCAAAACCAATCTGACAGAGAACAATATACATAAAATTAAATGCTAAACTAAGAAGAATTTCGATAGTTCAGTGTTACATACATATAGTATAACTAAAAAGTAGAAAATAAAAAATATATAAAAAAGCATTTTAAAAGTAATGCTTTTTATTCAGATAAATGTACTAAACAGTAAAAAATAAATTTTCTTCAGCTTTCACAATATTTTTGGTATTATGGAACCAAAAATAAAAGCATGGGACTCTTCTGTTTAGAAATATTCTATGACCAAAAATACTGTGAAAGCTGAAGAAAATTTTTTTTTAACTTTTTANTAACTATTTTAACACTTTAGAGTGATTTTTACAGAAATAAATTATAAAAACAAAATTTGTTTTGTCATACTAAAATTATAAGAAATTAATTTTTAAAAAATGTGCACCATCATTTATATATATATATTGCTTTTAATAGAAATCTTGACGGGATTTTTGTTACAATAAAAATAAAAGTTTGATTCCAGAAGTAACACACAAAGATCTGTTGAGATGTAATATTTTTTTGTTTTGAAACTTTTCATAATGAAAAACTATTTCAAATGAAGATTGTATTAACATTAAGATATATATATATATATAACATATATATATATATACATATGTCATTTTATGCATACTATTAAATTTATATAGTGATATCTCAGTCTTCGTCAATAATTTATTCGAAAACAATTCACGAAATCCGAAACTGACGAAAACCGAGGCAATTATTTCCATATGAATCAATGGTGAATCCAATTAATTCGTTTTGAACATTCCAAAACACGTATCAAAAACACAGAGAATAAATATAGTGTTTATAACTAAAAACAATAAGAAATTAATATAAAATGAATATAAAAGACTAATGTAAAGAATAAATGAACATTTAACATGACATTCAAAGGGCTGTTGGCTATGGAATTTTTTTTTGGTTCCTTGATGGAGCTAAAAGGAAAGGAAAGCAATGGAATTATTTAGCTACATATGCAGGGTAATGCCCACACAATGAGAAACAATGCCACACAGCAGGAAAATGCATGGGTCACCCTTTGTTTTTGCTAAATTAGCAACATGGTCATGTGGGCATGCCAACAAAATCTGAGGCAACCAACAAAAACTGAGACAAATTTTTCGCAGAAAAAATTGACGATAACCGAAGTCAACAAAAACCAAGGTATTACTATAATTTACTTTGTAACATATCATACAAATTATTCAAGTATAATATAAACAGAAAATTAGCTTATGGTTAAAATGCATGACATATTTAAAACTGAACATTAAATAATTTTATGTAAAGTAAACAGCTACTATTTTGCTGAATTAGTCAATAACAATATAAAATTTGAAATAATTAAATTTTAAAAAAATAAATATCTTGAAAAAATAATTTGATATGATTATACTAAACCAGTGATGATTAACATTTTTGGGCCACAAATGAACTTTATTGATGTCCAGTGGGCCATTGCTGAATACTAATATTGATAGCCTCCAATACACTAGGTACTGAAATAATATGTACTAATGATATACAAACTAATAATATATAATTTATTCACATTTTTTCACTGCTCAAGTTTAGTTTGAATGATCTTCAAGAATGTCAGCTGAAATGGGTTGCGTAATGTCATGAGGCAGAAAACGAGAAAATAAAATTATGTTGACAAAGTCTGCAACTACAAATTACAACTCAAGGACCACATGTTGCTCATAACTGTTTTAAGCTTTTTAATAGCTTGAGCATATTTCTATAATTATAATTTATTATACTGCTAATTCTTAATGCAAAATTATAACCCCATTTTAAAATGCTTCTATTTAACTTGCTTTGTATCATATCTTCAAGTCTTGAACTCAAATTTCATCCATTTATAATTAAGACAGAAGGCTGAGCCTTAGGACATACCTAAGTCCGATGACAATGCATTGTAATGATGTTTTAGCAATGTCTCCATTCCCACAACTCTCCGTATTCCAAAACTCAATAAACATAGCCAAATGCAGATAATCATTGTGTGTGTATGCACTTAGTGATGTATATGGTGGGTTTGCACTCATATTATTCTCCACTCCAACCTCAGAAAACATAACCAATAAAAATCTTTTTAAAAAANATAACCGAAGTCAACAAAAACCAAGGTATTACTATAATTTACTTTGTAACATATCATACAAATTATTCAAGTATAATATAAACAGAAAATTAGCTTATGGTTAAAATGCATGACATATTTAAAACTGAACATTAAATAATTTTATGTAAAGTAAACAGCTACTATTTTGCTGAATTAGTCAATAACAATATAAAATTTGAAATAATTAAATTTTAAAAAAATAAATATCTTGAAAAAATAATTTGATATGATTATACTAAACCAGTGATGATCAACATTTTTGGGCCACAAATGAACTTTATTGATGTCCAGTGGGCCACTGCTGAATACTAATATTGATAGCCTCCAATACACTAGGTACTGAAATAATATGTACTAATGATATACAAACTAATAATATATAATTTATTCACATTTTTTCACTGCTCAAGTTTAGTTTGAATGATCTTCAAGAATGTCAGCTGAAATGGGTTGCGTAATGTCATGAGGCAGAAAACGAGAAAATAAAATTATGTTGACAAAGTCTGCAACTACAAATTACAACTCAAGGACCACATGTTGCTCATAACTGTTTTAAGCTTTTTAATAGCTTGAGCATATTTCTATAATTATAATTTATTATACTGCTAATTCTTAATGCAAAATTATAACCCCATTTTAAAATGCTTCTATTTAACTTGCTTTGTATCATATCTTCAAGTCTTGAACTCAAATTTCATCCATTTATAATTAAGACAGAAGGCTGAGCCTTAGGACATACCTAAGTCCGATGACAATGCATTGTAATGATGTTTTAGCAATGTCTCCATTCCCACAACTCTCCGTATTCCAAAACTCAATAAACATAGCCAAATGCAGATAATCATTGTGTGTGTATGCACTTAGTGATGTATATGGTGGGTTTGCACTCATATTATTCTCCACTCCAACCTCAGAAAACATAACCAATAAAAATGTTTTTAAAAAACTTTTTAATACATTAAAATTATTAATTGAACACAGTTTAATGTAAATTACTTTATAATGAAATCTGAAATTTTAAAATCTTTTCTATATTGAATAAATATGGTATTTGACTGTGTCTGTTTTTAATAATTAATTTTATTATTTTGAAATTTTAAGCTATGTAAAGAAATTAGATTGGAAGATTTTTCTTATTTGGTTTAATAAACATAGTGCAAGAGGTTACTAAATATTACAAAATACATCAATGTGGAAAAAAGTGTAATATTTTGTAAAAAATATATTTAAATATTTCACTTAGTTTAATAATAATAATAGTAAATCAGCAAAATATTTTTTATTTTTATTTATTTTTTTGCAAATAAATAAAGCAAATATTTTGATATTTTAGATTTATTTTACAAATTCAAATTTCATCTTCAAATCGTATGAATTTAAATATTTTGCCATAATTTTTTAAATTGAATAACTTTTAGAATAAGAACAATAATAAATTCTTATGCTGTTTTTGCAATCTCTTTCTCATTTAGAATGCAGATAATTTTGAATAGTGAATATTGTCAGATTTTCTTTATTCATTATTATTGATAAAGTTGACTTTCATTTTTATTGTTGATACAATGGAATCTGGTTAACTTGAATCTGTCGGGGTAAAAAAATTTGGACTTCAAGTTAAAAGTTTCAAGGAATTCGAGTTAACAAATTTGATTT